AATTATTTGTATCCACATGATGGCAGCATTAAAAATTTATATTACAAGTGTTGCCATCTATAATTAGTCATCGATTAATTAATTAAAATTATTTTCAAATAAAAAACTAAAACAATATTACAAGAATATTTAATATTTTGAATTTATATATTATTTTTTATTTCTGTTTTCTGCTGACAAAGAGAGAAAGAGAGAGAGGCAAAAAAAATAATACTTTTTTAAGAGTTTTTATTTGTGAATTTTGTAGAAAGGACATACAATATAAAGGAATTCCAGTCTCGGATATAGAATGAGACAGTCTCACATGACCGCGCACGTGTGTCCGATTACACGTGGCACGTGGTCTAGCAGCCGGGCCGTGGGAACGTGCCACTGAGTGGTTGTAACGTGATGACGGCCTCATCTCAAAATACGTGGGCATGCGCAAGCGAAATAACGCGTTACCTCGACTGTTCGGGTCGCTTTCTCTCTCCACTTTGGAATGAGGGTCATCCGTCAATCTGCATCTATAACGGAACTGTTTGATTATAACCAATTGACTCCGTTGTCGATTGATTTTATTTTTTTTATATTTTTTTGATAGATAAAGCAATATTTTAAAATGATATATATGTATATAAATACAGGCCCTATATTTCCTTTGCGGTTTGTAAACTGGAATGCGGGAAACGGGCTGCTCTGGAAACGGTGGGTTGTGCCCCTATATAAATCTACTAAATGGTTCCGAGAATTCTATTTCTAGTTCCCCCACTTATTTTTGATCTTTGCGGTTCTTCAAATTAGAAAGAGGAGATTCTTAAAATATATTTTTTTCTTGCTTATTAGTTTAAGCGCCGCATCATACACGTTGTTTAATTAAAATACGTTTATAAATCCGGCTTATAAATCTTATAAATTTGTTAAATTTTATATAAATAAGCCATTAATAATTTAAATTACTCCTAAACTGTTAAAATTCGGCTGCCGCCGCTGCGTTAAATATTCAAATATACATTCGAAATTTAAATAAAATTCCGATAGTTTCAGATTATCTAGTACTAAAAATTAATCTAATTAACGACTTCGGGATGCAAATTATTAAATTTAATTATAATTTAACACGAATTTCTTTTAGAAAAAAAAAAATGAAATAAGCGTGTGGCTTCCTTCCTATTCTACGTAAGCATCATTTTATATGTTTTTTTTTTTTAATTTAAATAAATGTAATAGTTTATTGTTATAAATACTTAACGATTTTATATATTAATTTATAAAATAGTAAAGAAATTTTTCGCACTTTCATTAAACGACCTTGAACTTTTAACATAAATAATAACCATGTTAGGGTCAAGAAAAAAGTAAATTTTGCAGGTGGCGCATTTTATCGTTTCTTCCATATCTTAACGGAGATCCACGTGCTTGCAGACAAAAAGATAAAACAACCGAGTGATTAATATCTAAAGTAATTTAACTTTTGATCGCACGAGACTCAAGATTTATTCTTAAAAATCTAATTATGTGATTAAATTGGTTGTGATTTTGTTTAATCTTTATAAAATATTCCATTATATTTATGAATTTATGGCTTTAGCATAATATTTTANACAATATTACAAGAATATTTAATATTTTGAATTTATATATTATTTTTTATTTCTGTTTTCTGCTGACAAAGAGAGAAAGAGAGAGAGGCAAAAAAAATAATACTTTTTTAAGAGTTTTTATTTGTGAATTTTGTAGAAAGGACATACAATATAAAGGAATTCCAGTCTCGGATATAGAATGAGACAGTCTCACATGACCGCGCACGTGTGTCCGATTACACGTGGCACGTGGTCTAGCAGCCGGGCCGTGGGAACGTGCCACTGAGTGGTTGTAACGTGATGACGGCCTCATCTCAAAATACGTGGGCATGCGCAAGCGAAATAACGCGTTACCTCGACTGTTCGGGTCGCTTTCTCTCTCCACTTTGGAATGAGGGTCATCCGTCAATCTGCATCTATAACGGAACTGTTTGATTATAACCAATTGACTCCGTTGTCGATTGATTTTATTTTTTTTATATTTTTTTGATAGATAAAGCAATATTTTAAAATGATATATATGTATATAAATACAGGCCCTATATTTCCTTTGCGGTTTGTAAACTGGAATGCGGGAAACGGGCTGCTCTGGAAACGGTGGGTTGTGCCCCTATATAAATCTACTAAATGGTTCCGAGAATTCTATTTCTAGTTCCCCCACTTATTTTTGATCTTTGCGGTTCTTCAAATTAGAAAGAGGAGATTCTTAAAATATATTTTTTTCTTGCTTATTAGTTTAAGCGCCGCATCATACACGTTGTTTAATTAAAATACGTTTATAAATCCGGCTTATAAATCTTATAAATTTGTTAAATTTTATATAAATAAGCCATTAATAATTTAAATTACTCCTAAACTGTTAAAATTCGGCTGCCGCCGCTGCGTTAAATATTCAAATATACATTCGAAATTTAAATAAAATTCCGATAGTTTCAGATTATCTAGTACTAAAAATTAATCTAATTAACGACTTCGGGATGCAAATTATTAAATTTAATTATAATTTAACACGAATTTCTTTTAGGAAAAAAAAATGAAATAAGCGTGTGGCTTCCTTCCTATTCTACGTAAGCATCATTTTATATGTTTTTTTTTTTTTTAATTTAAATAAATGTAATAGTTTATTGTTATAAATACTTAACGATTTTATATATTAATTTATAAAATAGTAAAGAAATTTTTCGCACTTTCATTAAACGACCTTGAACTTTTAACATAAATAATAACCATGTTAGGGTCAAGAAAAAAGTAAATTTTGCAGGTGGCGCATTTTATCGTTTCTTCCATATCTTAACGGAGATCCACGTGCTTGCAGACAAAAAGATAAAACAACCGAGTGATTAATATCTAAAGTAATTTAACTTTTGATCGCACGAGACTCAAGATTTATTCTTAAAAATCTAATTATGTGATTAAATTGGTTGTGATTTTGTTTAATCTTTATAAAATATTCCATTATATTTATGAATTTATGGCTTTAGCATAATATTTTAAGGGTTTTTTTTAAAAATATAATGAGCAATTTCTGTGAAAAAACATTCAAAAGACCTTTAAAATGCTTTTTTTTTAAAAAAAAAAACAGAAATTCCAGGAAATTCTCCTTTGAATTTTACCAAAAAATGCAAAAATTTCAAGCCTTAATTCTCAAAAAAAGGTGTATTTAATGTAAAATTATGTTGAATTTACCAAGAAAAGACTTTATTATGTACATATTTGTACAGGATTACCCTCAAGCAGGATATAAGAGAATTTCTTTGAAAAAAATGATAAAAAATTAATTAAATTCTACATAAAACCATCCATTTTTACACATAATTCATCCTTCTCTTTTATTTCTGTTTTTCAATTCATTATTATTTTTTGTTTCATTTAATCTGTAAATCATTGATTTGTGTACGTAATAAATGGAAATGTATCGTTTTTAATAAAGTTATATAAAATTTATTGCGTGTTTTTATTTAAAAACATCACGATTTTTTATAATAATTATCAATTATAAATTGTCCTATATTTCGTTTTCGTGATTTTAAATGTATTAAACCGTAATATAAATTATTTAAAATCATTAATTAACTGTATTTTAGTAAAAATACACAGTTTTAAATTAAAATTACGAATTTATTAATTAAATCCTAATTACGTATTAATATTTTCAACCGCTTGATGGCGGCATTAAAATTTATTAAGTGCTGCCATCTATAATTGATTAGTAATAATATAAATAAATATTTACAATTAAAAAATTTTTTTTTAT